GAAGAGGAAGGAAAGGAAGGAAGGAAGGAAGGAAGGAAGGAAGGAAGGAAGGAAGGAAGGAAGGAAGGAAGGAAGGAAGAAGAGGAGAAAAGGGGGAGCGGGGGAGAAGAGGGAGGGAGGACAGAGGACAAGGAGAAGAAGAAGGAGCAGGCTTAGCACGCTATTGCAAGCCAGGCAGTGTGGCATACTTTTTTCTTATGCATTGCATCTTTTTCATTGTTTTAATTGAACATTTCAAAATGAGAAGGAGAAGGAGAAGGAGAAGAAAAGCTATATTCACTTTTGTCCTGGAGAGCACTACATTAAAAACAAAGCAAAGCCAGAAGTATTATCTTTATCCCATGAGTTTTTTTCTTTCTCTCCCTTGGCTTGCCTACTTCTATTTAGAGGGGCAGCACCTGCCCAGCTCCAGGAAGCACGAGGGCCAAGCACTCAGGCCAGCTTGCCGGGAGGTGTTTTCACCCCTTGCAGACCGAAGCGCTGTGCTTTTCGCTTTGTTCAAACAACCCTTTATGGTTATTTAAATAGAAAACTATTCAACAGGAGAGGCAGTTGCACAGGGGTGGACTCCAAACAGCTTCGTGGCTACCTTGCTTTTTTTTTTTTTTCCCCTCTGTTCCTGAAATCTGGGGCTGCTCTAAGTGGCCAGAGGGAGCCGGCTGCTCAAGTGGGCACTTGCTTTTGCAAACAAAAGCAACACCTGCAACAAGCTACACTGATCCCTGGCCAGCTTGGCGGACATATGAGGTTCCCTCTGTCTCTGAAGCAGATGGCTCGAGGTGCAGGGTGGAATCTGACAGCACCCTCAACTGAGGCTGAGCTGTCGCCTTCTAGGAAACATGAAGATGCTGCTGTAGCCCCCCCCCCTCCAACAGCATCATATTACGATCGCTCCTCGCTTCACTCACTTCCCCACCCCACTGGCTGACCTGCCAAGGGGCATCGTTGCACAAAGTGCTTTCTTATCTCTACCCTCAACTCCACTGGCAGCAGTCAAATAAACTCACGTCATGTCATCTGGTCCAAAGGAGAGAGCTCTTTCATTGGCTGAGATTTGATGCTCCTTTCAACCCAAAATGGTCAGCTTATACAAAAGTGGCCTCCGAGCTTCTTTCTTTGGGATGCATGGAGCTTGCTTTCGCAACATCATTGAATGGCCTGTCCAGTCCTGTCCTGTCTCTCTGTCTGTCTGATCAGCCAGCCAGCCAGTCAGCCAGCTGTCCATCCATCCATCCATCCATCCATCTGTCCGTCCGTCCGTCCGTCCATCCATCCATCCATCCATCCATCCATCCATCCATCCATCCAATATCTGTTTATCTGATTATCTATCTATCTATCTATCTATCTATCTATCTATCTATCTATCTATCTATCTATCTATCTATCTATCTATCTATCTATCTATCTATCTATCTATCTATCTATCATCTAATTTCTCTAACTAAAAGAAAAGAACAATTCCCATTCTGATAAAGCTATAGAGTCATAACCTTCAAACCCACGTATTTTCTGCCATGTTGAATAAGAATACATGGATTTGCTTAACGGCTACTGTGTTCACTTAATGACTGTCATAAAAAATTGTAAAATCAGGTCTGGTCCCATGGGTGCCTCTATCTGTGACCGTCATGACTTAGGATGGAAATGTTGATCTCTATTACAGTTGTAAGGTGAGGACTACCTGCATGTAGTTGTCACGTTAGCATATATTTTTGTCCACATTTTCATCATGGAAAGACATATTTGCATGCAATTTTCTCTTTTATACTCCTTTATATTAAAACAGTACAATATTCTGGAATATTTACAGATCACCTCTGCTGAATTATGCATCCATTCTCTTCCATGATGGATTCCTTATTTCCTTCTTTTTGGCCATGGATTTTACACACACCTACTTTGAACCACTTTCTTTGGGATTGTTCCCCAAATCAAACCACTTTTCATTAAAGACAAACCATGATTACTATGAACAAATATCAAGAACTCACCTTCTTTGGTATTGATGCGAGGCGATGGATCTGTGTGAGTTGGTGTGTTGTAAGACAGCAAGGAACTACCTGCAAAGAACAAACAGCGTGAATTTAGCCTGCGCAGATTGCATCCTTCCCTGGACCAAGAATCTTTCCTCATGATCACTCATGCTTTGGTTTCCTCACATGTGGATTACTGCCATGAGTTCCGTAGACCACTCAGATGACACAGCTGATACAGAAGACAGTAATAGAAGCAATTATGGTTGCATTTTGATATGCTCATATAAAACCTCTCTTAAGAAAACTGGACAGGTTACCAGTGACCTCCCAGATGCAATCCAAGGAGCCAATTACCAGCCATAAAGTTTTCCATGGCATAGCGCCTTGAGAAACTGCCTCTATCCAGTGGTGGGATTCAAATATGTGAACAACCTGTTCTCTGTGTGGATGCCGCTTCCAGAGTCCATTCTGGGCCTGGGCAACAAAAAAATAGCTACCGGTTCTGCCGAACTGGTGCGAACCGGCTGAATCCCACCACTGCCTCTATCCCATTATTTCTGCCCACCCTTTAAGATCTATGAAGCAATATCGTCTGATAGTGGCAGCAGTTGTAACTTCTAGGATGGATTGTAAGTAGCTTTTTGAAAGTCCGTTGTAAGTTCAAAGGGTCTTTAAACATGGCCATCAGCTGAGGACTATTTTGTGTATTTTATAGAACTGAAGACATCATAGAGGTCCTTTCTGTTCCAGATGAAAACCAATAGGACCAATTCCAGAAGGCAAGGTAGTTAGGGACCCTTGGTGTCAATGTGTGGATGAGCATAGTTCTGCTGGGACTGTAGCACTATAAATTGGAAGCTCACTAAGATGAATGCCACTATACAAAAGGGAAATGCCTTGATTATGGAAAGCCACTATTGAAGAAGAAAACTTGGCATCCTCCTCAAATTCCACATCCAAAATCCTAGGGTGACATGGCAACATGGAGCTTCAATCACGGGACTTTACAGAACGTGCAAATATGCTCTGAATCCACCATTAAAACATCTCAAATGGAATTCAGGCCATCTTAAAATATCAATACCTTGATTATTCAGATTATGTATATTATCCAGAGCTTGGAAAATGTACCATAGACCAGAGGTCCCCAACCCCCTGTCCATGGACTGGTATCGGGCCGCAGCATGCCAGCAACCAGGCCACACAAACAAGCAAAGCCCCATCTATGAGATGCAGGCAGCACACAATACCACGCATCCCTCCGGTCCGTGGAAAAATCTCTCTCCATGGAACCGGTCCCTGGTGCCCAAAAGTTTGGGAACCTCTGCCATAGACTTTTTTGGTTCAAGGGGTAAAAGAAACAACAATATGATGCCCAGTGCAGTATACAGCCACAGTTGATAGCAAGGATAGGCAATTTTGAAAGCACATCACAAACATAAAACACTTCCTGGAAGGCTTGGCCAGGCACAAAACACTTATTTCCTGGAAGTCAATGGTAAACTTGCTCTGACACTCATTACCCTCAGAAGCTCTCTAAATAACTAGACGTTTTTTGATTCTTGGGCAGGAGGGCACATTTCTAAACAAAATTTGTTCAGAGCAATGCTAAGGACCCCAATGAGATTTAAGTGAGCATTCATATAAATAAAGATTAGGTCAAAGGGCTGGTGTTTGCCTGTCCATGTACAAAAGCCTGTTTATTTAACAGAATAATAGAATAAAGGGTCATGGTGTCTCAGTGGTTAGACTGCAGTACCGCAGGCTACTTCTGCCGACTGCCGATTGCCAACAGTTCAGCAGTTTGAACCTCACCGGCTCAAGGTTGACTCAGCCTTCCATCCTTCCGAGGTTGGTAAAATGAGGATCCAGATTGTTGGGGGCAAGACGCTGACTCTGTAAATCACTTAGAGAAGGCTATAAAGCGGTATATAAGTCTAAATGTTATTGCTATTCCTATAACAGAGTTAGAAGGGACCTTGGAGGTTTTCTAGTCCAACCTGCTGAGGCAGGAAATCCTACACCATTTCGGACAAATGGATGTCCAATCTCTTCTTAAAAACCCCCAGTGTTGGAGCACCCACAACTTCTGGAAGCAAGCCATTCCACTGGTTAATTGTTCTCACGGTCAGAAAGTCTCTCCTTAGTTCCAGGTTGCTTCTCTCCCTGATTAGTTTCCATCCGTTGCTTCTTGTCCTGCCTTCAGGTGCTTTGGAGAATAGCTTGACTCTCTCTTCTTTGTGGCAGCCCCTGAGATATTGGAACACTGCTATCATGTCACCCCTAGCCCTTCTCTTTCTTAAACTAGACACATCCAATTCCAGTAACCGTTCTTCATAACTATAAGATTTTTTCAAAAATTATGCCAGGTGGTGCAGGAATCTGGGCAAGAAGCCTAATAGGCATCAGAAGAGGTCTATGAAACTGGGCAAAATAGAAGGGTGATGTCTATAGAGGCTTTCTAAACCTATATCCCTGCCATTTTGTACATTATTTTTTTGTTCTCAAATAACAGTGAGAAAGCAAATTTATGGCTGACACATTTTCTGGCAAATTTGAGACAGATCCTCATTCCCGGTGCTCAGCATGACGAATACCAGTTCCCCCTGGCAAAGTCCAAAAGGTTTCCAGAGATTAAACAAGCTGTCTTTGCAGCTAAAATGTGGACCGACACATTGGATGGGGACGGGAAGAGGAAGGTAGGCCCTACAGAAAGAAAAAAAGGGGGAAGTAACCACATCAAGGAACAGTCAAACAAAGCAGGGTCTACTTTTGCTGAAAAGCTGCTGAGAGAGGAAAAGTTGTTCTGAGTTTATTGGTTCAAGTTCTCACCTTTGCCCAACGGTCTGACATTTCTGGTGGGAACAGCAGAACCGGGAAGGAAAAATGTGTTTCCTATTAAGAGGTTGAAAAGAAAGAGGCAGGAGAAGACAAATTGGGGTGGGGGGTGGGGAATGAGACACAGCAAAATTTGCCAAGCACATAGTCGGCGGAAAACCCAGATCTGGAATCTTTTCTGAGCAAACTTTCAAATCTAAGCAGAGCAATGCCACAATCGATCAATCATGATAGGCCTGGAAGTCACACCCCATTTGGGGACATGTTTGTTACTAATTCCAGATAGGTGGAAATTTATGAAAGAGACTCAGGGATGGGGTGTGGTATAAGGCACATTCTCAGTTGTGTCTCAGTATTTCGGTATGTAAGTCCTGGTGGAAGGAAGGAAGGAAGGAAGGAAGGAAGGAAGGAAGGAAGGAAAGAAGGAAGAAAGGAAAAATGGAGGGAGGGACAGAGGAAGGAAGGAAGGAAGGAAGGAAAAATGGAGGAAGGGATGAAGGAAGGAAGGAAGGAAGGAAGGAAGGAAGAAAGAAAAAATGGAGGGAGAGAGGAAGGGAGGGAAGGAAGGAAGGAAGGATCTTCTATCTCATTCTTGCTCAGGCAGAGTTGACTATAACCAAGGAGCCACCCAACTGCAGGAAAAGTAATTTTTATTTTTGGACCCACGGATTGCCTTTGAAACTTCCACTTCATTTATTTTTACAATATGCCTTCTGCCAACTTAAACCAGCTTTTTATAGGGGAGGGAGAAAGAGGACACCTTAGAAGGGTTCATGCAAATAACTTTATACATTTTCTTTTTTCTTTTTCCACTGAAAACTTTCAACTTTCTTCTGAGTCACATCAAAGCTCTCATTGGCGACCCTCTTCAAACAAAACATTAATTAAAGACTATACTAATGTATATTAATTTGGGTTTAATTTGGGTAGAGGAAACCTCTCCCTACAGTTGGGAAGAAATACAGTTGGGAGGCTGCAACAGAGTTCTTCGGTTGCTACACAGGTTGCCTAGAAGATTCATAGACTATTTTAAAGGTCTGGGCATTAAAATTCTAGACAGTGTTTCTCGGATTTGACAACTTTAAGACATGTGGATTTCAGCTTCCAGAATTTCTCAGTCTGTGTACCCTTGGCCAAAGATTGATCCACTCCTATCTGAAATGATCATCCTCTTCAGCTGAGGGTGCAGCTTCAGGTAGGACATACATGAAATAATGAGATAAGAAGGGGACACCCACCTAGCCAGACAGATCAGCCAAATCAACCCTATCAGTGGGGTGACATGTGTTGCAGATAGACCACCCACACATTTATGTAGCTTTGGGCATTATTCCATTTTAGGTTCTGCAGATATTGTCACATTTATAACCTGGATATAGATTGTTTCTTCTGGATTTCACTCATAGGTCCCAGTGAATCTGTTTTATAGATGTATTTTAATGTTGTCTTACATTTTTATTTACTGATTTCTGAAGCCAGACTGTTTTATAGGTGCTTACAGACAGTGATGAGATTCAGCCGGTTCACACCACTTTGGCAGAACTGGTAGCTAATTTTTTGTTGCCCAGGCCCAGAATGGACTTCCGGAAGTGGCATCCACATAGAGAACCGGTTGTTCACATATTTGAATCCCACCCCTGCTTACAGATCACTTGGGAACCTATTGGTATTGGTCTGAGATTACAATAAAATGACTGACTGACTGACTGACTGACTGACTGAAGCCCACATATAGAATCAGAGACACTCTTAGAAGATAAAATGGTGCGTGGATGCAGACAAAGTCTTCTTTTTTAAAACTGCATATCTTGGCTATGCCTTTCATTATCTATGTCGTGCTTGCAAAATTTCAAATTGGTCTACCAGTCAGTAGTATATAAACAGACTGTAAACCCCACTCCCTTCTAGCACTGATGATGTTACCTAGTTTGGTAATGAAAATGTCTGCAAGAAAACAACCAATCAGAAAGCACCAAGGACCCCACAGTTGTCCTCCTCCTCCTCCTCTTCCTCCTCCTCCTCTTCCTCCTCCTCCTCCTCCTCCAACTCCACTTCCTTCTAGCACTGACAATGTTACCTAGTTGGATAATGAAACATCTGCAAGAAAACAACCAAGCTCAGAGAGCACCAAGGACCCCACAGTTGTCTCCTCCTCCTCCTCCTCCTCCT